AATACATTATTTATGGATAGCTATAACTAGGAAGAAAATTGTTATGCTTGGCAAGACTGAGGGAAGTAGAAGGAGGGGAAGAGAACAGACAAGGGAGATGAACAAGGTGATGAGCATTTGTCCATATATCCTTAGGAGTCAAACCTATCTAACAATTATCAATTGGAATCCATTCTGAACTACGCCTAAACCATCATATTAAAGCTAGTATTATAGTCTCAGATGGCTTGTGTTTCAAGCAGCTGGTTGGCTCCTTTTAGAAACTGGGGCAGCGTTGTCTTCCTCATTTCTTTTAGTTAACTTTTCAATAAATATTTCACAGTTCGGTGTTCCAGTAAACATTTGGCATTTATGAGCAATAAAAAGAGAGATAAAATCCCCAAAACTTACCTGCTCCTATAGAAGTATTGCTGTTCTTATCAGTAAACTTGCAGCAAGCCATTTCCTATAATCTAAGGCATGGAATGAGCAAAATCATCTCCGTTCAGAGTTTAATCACATGAAACATCTGCAAAACTGTCTTCAAGTGAACATTTATTCTTTTTTTGTTCCCTTGTCTTTGAAATAAGACCACAAAGCTTGTACACTGATCAATGGCTACTAAAACATCAGTGTATAAGAGGAAATGCTGTTAGCACAATATTTCACATATGTTAATGCTTACAGTACCATCAGTGTCAGCTTTATTTTCAATTTGATATATACCAAAGCTGGCATACAATTTTAACTGGTGAGGTAATGTCATTTTTAATTTAGAGAGCCTTTAACTGTCCACTTTAACTAGTGATATCATCTTTGTAGTGGTCTCCTGAGATCTCATGTAAACATAACTAATGGGCCCCAGACAGTTTAGAGCTTAACTGTTAAGGGTGGCACCAGTCATCATCTTTTTTTCCCCTTTTGTTCACTTCAAAATTGTCAGATATAGTTTACATTACTGCCATTTAAAAAAATATATATTCCCCATCCATTGATGTAATTTGGAGTTTTTCACATGTGTAACAATAGGATGAAATGGCCAGAACAAATTAATATAACATATTAATATCAAGTATTATAGGATAATAAAAGAAAATAGGATTATGCAAATAAAAATCATTTCATGTATTTAAAAGGCAACATATTGGGAAATTTAAAAAAAAAATCATTCTAGTCACTCTTCATTAGGAAAAAAGCAAAGTACAATACTTGAAATGAAATGAAGTTTCATGACATTTTTTTTTTCTTTACAAGCAGGTACAGACTTTCCATTTTTAATGAAGTCACCCTAAACATTTTGGCTGTGATGCAATCAGCTTTAAAGACTATGGGTGTGTGGGGATTATGACAAAGTTATGAATTCAAATGTCTGTGAAAATTAATAATTTGACTAAGGGCAGACCACTTAAAAAACTATAAACAAGAGACTGAAATAGGAAATAGAGAAGAAAGGTGATTTGATTCTCCACCATCTTTCTCAGATCTAATTAGATGTCTTTGCTTTTCATTTCATTTTGATAACTGAAAGTTTTGCAATGAATTTTTTCTGAGAGTCCTCTCCTAGATTATGTTAGAAGTTGGGCATGGATTATGCAATGCAAAATGAGCCTCATCATAGCATTCTCCAAAGACCTAGAATTCTGAGTGGAAGCCTTTGCACACATTTACTTGGATGTCTTCAGCCAGTCTCTTCCTGATATAAACCAGCCTGGGAACAAGCAAAAGTTCTTAGATCTAGATAGCATAGGTATATTATCTTTATATAATTATGTTTGCAAGAAACTGTAAAGGAAATTTGCCCAAATGCATTGTGGCCTGTCTAATTATGCTGATGAAATATTTCATAGCAACTGTGATGACCTACTGGAGGATGACCCTCGTAATGACCCACATTCCAATCACTATAAAGAGTTCAAGTCATACTGGACTCAAAAATACAGACTTGTAGATGCAACTATGAAAAGCCAAAATCCATGGCTGCATTGAATTGGTCTCAGGATTCTATTACTGACATAAATATTCCCAACTAAAAAGCAGAAGTAGGAGGGGAAGAAGGTTAGTATCAAAACAGGAAAGATTATGATTGCATCATTTTGATGTGTTAATATAGCAAACACATACGAAGAGCTAGAACTTCAACTGCAATACCATACCTGCCATCATTTATGTTTTGAACTGCCTCCCTGTGGATGCCAGTGTCCATGAATTATCTAGATAGGAGAGCAGGAATGTGGAGAATGTAAACATTCACCCATCTCTTAAGGATGGAGGTTAGTGAAACAAAAAAGTTCAAGAATTCACTTCTTAAAAGGAAGCACTGTAAAAGGCCATGAAGGATTTGAAGTATGATTTTATATGAATTCTGTAACATCTGTCCTACCTGGTGAGAGACTGTCTCCTGTCTCATATGGTTGCCATAACAACGAAGAAATACTTCCTAGCCAAATAGACCCCATTTCTAGAGGGAGCCTGACAACTAGAGGGAAAGAAGAGGGAGATATTAATCCAAGATAAGGACTGAAAGAGTGGGAAAAGAAAGTCAAAGGGAAAAAATGATTGGAAGAAGAAAATATTGGAAGGCAGAGAAACAAGAACAAAACAGTTTAGAAAGGAGAGCAGTGGAGAAGAGAACAGACGGGAAGGAAAACAGAGTAAAAAGTTATGGAAGAGAACAAAGTGCACAGGAATAGCAGAGAGACAAAGAAGAGAATGAGGAAATATAATTCATATATCAAAATATATTAAATATAATTTATCTGATAGAAAGGTTGCTACTGATGCTCTAACTTAATGGAAGTTGGACTTTGAAGAAGCAGAATAGAAAGAGTATTGACGGTTTTGAACTCTGGTGCTGGAGAAGACACCAAAAAACCCAAACAAATAGATCAGTGCATGCTGGCTGGGGAATTCTGGGAGTTGAAGTCCACACATCTTAGAGTTGTCGAGGATGAGAAACATTGAAATAGATCATAGAACAAATCAATTATGAGTTCTCACTCAAGACACAAATGACCAGGCTCAAATTATCATATTCTGGACATCTCCCAGCCAGCTCCCTTGAGAAGTCTATAATGCTGGGAAAAGTGGAAGGAAGGAGAGAAAAGGAAAGGACAACCAGCAGCAAGGTGGATGGACTCAATTACAGTGGTGATGGGTGCACTATTGGAAGATCTGAAGGACCAGATTGGGGCAGATAGTCCTGGAGAAAATCTGTGTAGTCACTAAGAGTCAGCACTAAATTGATAGCACATAATCAATCAGTCAATAAGAAATGCTAGGAAAGTATTTCCAAACCAAGTTTTAATAAGATCTGAATTTCAATTGCTTGTAAAAGCCTAAATAAAAAAAAAGTTTTTAAAACACATTTTTCACAATCTGGATCAAAATTCCTTGCCCATCCCTAAAAGCATTCCCACTAGCCATCAGTTCCCAAACTATTTTCTTTTCTTTCTTGGACTTAGTGTATCTGTCATTGGTGGGAGCAGCAGTCGCAGTAATGATGTAATGTAGGAGGGAAAAAGAGTATTTTTTTTTCTTCCTGTCTTCTTTTTCCATCATCCAGATGTATCTGATGCCAGAGTGCAAAGCCCGGGGCACAATGATAAACTCTGTTGTTCTGAGGATTACTGCAGTAGCAGGGGAAGGGCTAACTCAAGTACCACAAGTACAGCGTCTCCTTCTTTAAGATATAATTGGCTAGATTCTCTGTATTAAGGCTTGACTCCTGGTGACTTCATGGACATGTCCATGTAGTTTGTTGTCAATACTGTAGAAGTGTTTACCTTGCTTTTGTTGTCCAGAATGTTTTTGTTTTTTGGGTTTTTTTTTTCAGTTTTTCAATCTATAGTCTCCATCTCTGGGGTTTCCTGATAATGTCCTGTACAAAAATTTATGAGGACTGACTCTGATTTAGCTTCTAAAGAACAGTCAGGGTAGGATAAGGGCTGCCACTTGTAAATTGTGCAGGGTTTCGTGTCCTACTAATGTTTCAGAATTTTTGTAGCCATTATTTTCATTTTTATGTTTATGTGAGTTTTGGTTAAAAATTGGGGACTTCAGTATTTGGTGAAGCTCATATCTTACATAATCTGTTTTTATGATATTCTTAGATAGCTGAGAGAGTACTCCTTCTTTAGTCCCTTCTTTGGGAGCTATCTTAAACCAGAATGGACACTTTCAGTCTAAATGGTCTACCAGTTGGCTTGGCAAAAAGCAAGTTCATGTTTTGAAACAGTTTTATATTCTTCTATTATTTTATTATCATTTGAGATTAATAAAATGGGTTAATATACTTATGCAGATGAACCAGAGTTTCATTTTCATTATTTCATACTTCTATTTTTCATTATTTTATGCATGTGTCTTGCATGTGTGCTGCAGACAGAGTCAAACCATTCTCTAGAACTTCTCAATCCTCATGAAAAATCCATTTTTTATATTATTATGGTCATTTTAAGTAATATGATGTTTAAAAACACACAGATGTATAATGATTAAGAAAGCAGCAGAGCAGTAAAGATAGTATAATATGTAAGACTTCATTTATTATTCTTTGGACTATACTTGCAGAATTGCATATCGAAATACAAGTATTGTACAGAAATTAAAGCCAAAAGGATATTTTAGAATTCAGACAAGAACTCCACCATTTGAAAAGAATTTGGTGTATTATGTATTGATAACAATGCCACGATAGACAAAGGAATGCAATTTAATAATACAGAATTGTGCTCATGAGATTTCCTTTTTCTTGTTAATTGGTTACTTTAGCTGATATTGTCTGTAAGCATAATGGGTGCCATTCTTCCTAATAGTTCCATCTCGCCAGATGATGTCTACCGACATGATGTAGTCCATTTTAATTTTTTCATTTTGCGTACATCTTTTAGGATAATGCAGCTTCCAAACAGGCTAGCATTATTCTTCATTATCTGTGGTGCATGGCTGTAGTTCTTAAATTAATTAGTTTTCTTTTTCTTCCCTGGAAGTTAAAAGTTTCTTTTCTTCAATTTATCTACCAGGTACGATTATGTTGAAGTGATTGATGGAGACAATGCAAATGGGCGAGTGTGGGGAAAGTTTTGCGGCAAGATTGCCCCCCAACCTGTGATATCTACAGGACCATACCTCTTAATCAAGTTTGTCTCTGATTATGAAACTCATGGAGCAGGCTTCTCCATTCGCTATGAAATATTTAAAAGAGGTGAGCAAGCTGCTTAATCTTGTCATGCTAATTATTTTTAACATAAAATATTGACAGTGGTTCAATTTGTTCAATTTGAAGGTCACTGATATTTGGAGAGAGGGGAATTAAAAGAACATTTAATGTCAAATTAATTTCTAGAGTGTTGCTTTCATAGGATCATGGAGGTCAGTGAGTCAAGTCACTAACTTTTGGTCTGTCCTGATACAAATATAATTTTTTTGCATTCAGTTCTCATAATAGCAAATGATTGTTAATCTGGAAGCTGTGATTGTGACGGACATCAGCTATTTTTTGCCTGTAATATATTCATACCGTCTTGTCATTAATTTGAGCCTCCATGAGTCAACATCGATTTGGCAGCTTTTCAATTTTAAATAAATATATCAACAGATTTAGTATTGTACACATATCTCTAATTTAAATCAATAGGCTTTTTAATTAAAAAATGGTAACTATATGCAAAAACAGTAGTAAAGTAATGCAAGATTCTGAAAATTGTAACGTAAGAAAAGTGTATCCTTAGTTTTACTGCTAATCCTGCTAATGCTGAAATTTCTCAACTTGTTCTTACAATTAACTGTTTAACTAAGTCTTGCTGAATACAAAGGGTCAGAATTAAATCATTAACTTCATTTGACAAGTCCTGCTTAATCAGTGCATGTTTTCTTTTGCTTTTTGTACTGTTGATTTTGTTTTATATCAGTTTATAATATTCCAAATATCATTGCTAATTCTATCCAATATGGTAATCTTTGTAATCCACAACTCATTGTGTGTCCATTGTGGATTGGGAATGGATGAGATGTAGATCATCATAATAGCTTAAAGCATTTTCTGCTAGAAAGACCTAGAAGAAGTACAATAATTAACATACGGTTCAAACATCCCCTGATTTATTTCAGTGAAGACAGATGAATGCAGGCAGTTTTGTAAACAAAACACAACATGGAAGGGGTGTGGGAGGTTTTCTGCTCTGACAAAGACTGGCAAATGACCTCTGCCCCATGGTCAAATCCTTTGTGAAGTAACTACCCACTGAGTAAATACCACAATCACTTTTGGTATAAGCCTTATCTTTGGTTGGAGGCAGACTAAAGAAGCATTTGGCATCCAGGAACCTCCTCTGAACGAAGCTAGATAATTAATAAATAAAACAACATCCCATCCCACCCCAAGATGTTAAGTTTTATAGAAGGCTTTTGCTTCTGCAACAAACTGTGTGAGTTGGGATTTTAGTACCTTGCCAATTAAGCAGTGAGCTTTTAAGGCCACTGTGCATAAAGAACTACTGAAAGGTCTCCAAAACAAGCAATTTGCCAAAAGTGAGCATTTTCAGTAGGGCTTTTTTTCCTTGATATCTCAGTGGCAACTCAGCAGTTCCCTGCATTTATTTCCTTCTATGATCTCTTAAATCTCCTTCTGAAAGACACTAGTTACATTAAGCCAACATTATAAATGAGAACTTGCACACTCAAAAGTCAGAATATTTAAAGTTATTGCCCCCAAAGTAATATTAACTCAGGTTTATGCCACAGTATATCAAAGTGGAAATGCTATTTCTGTGTTCGGGAATGGAAAAGTGCACGTGTGTGGTCCGAGAATTACAGTTGCTGTAAAAACAGAGCTTTCATGTCTTTCTTTTTGAATATTTTAATAACCTAATTAACATTGAATTACTATATTATTGAAAATGAAATCTGCATCTAGTATTTTAATATTAAACTATAATAAAAGCAGATACAGTGTGAAGATAACATTTTGCACATTATAGGACAATTTATGAAAGTGAGTCAACCATGGGCCAGTTGCGCCCATTCCTAGATCAGAGGGACCTACTCACAGTCACTCATGCCCTGGTCACCTCACAGTTAGATTACTACAATGCACTCTACATGGGCCTGCCCTTGAAGAGTATCTGGAAACTTTAGCTGGTGCAAAATGCAATGGCACGAGTAGTTATGTGTGTTTCTAGTAGAATACATGTTATACCTCTCCTACGCGAGCTGCCTTGGTTACCAGTTTGTTTCTGGGTCTAATTCAAGGTACTGGTGTTGACCTTTAAAGCCCTTCATGGCATGGGGCCAGGCTATCTGAGGGACTGCCTCTCCCCAGTTTCATCTGCCCATCCTACCAGATCCAGCAGAGGGGGCATGTTACGGGTTCCATCGCCTAGGGAAATACATTTGGCAGGGCCCAGGCAGCGGGCCTTTTCTGCTGGGCACCTGCGCTGTGGAATCTTCTCCCCCCTGAGGTGAGACTGGCCTCATCCTTGTTGAGCTTCTGGAGGTCCCTTAAGGCTTGGTTATGCAAGCAGGCCTGGGGACTCCAGGGGATGGGGGAATTAGTGAGGTGGCTCCCTTATTTTTAACTTGCTTTTATTCTCTGTTTTATTTTGTTTTATATATTTTTACTGTATTTTACTGTTTTTAGCTTTGTTGTACGCCACTAAGAGTCACCTGTGGTGAGATGGGCAGCTATATAAATTGATTTAATAAATACATACATATAGTCAAAATACTTCATTAAAATCAATTAATTTCGGTTGCAAAATTTAAGTGTAATGTTTAAAAATAAATCCCACACAGTTTGGGTAAAGGAGCGTAGAATATTACCATATACAGCATGGATGGAAAAGCAACAAAATCCCATCATAGGCTTTCAAGTGGACCCTACAGATTTACCTGTCCATTTTGTCCTGTGAGTTAGGACATTGTAGAGTGAATTAGTCTATATGATGTCATCTGTCTTATTAGAATTCACTGCTGTTTTTAAAAATATTTTCATTAATTTATAGTGCTTTTCTGGTTCTAAATGTCATTGTAGCCTACGTCTGAGAATTTTCTATGAAGCATGTTTTCTAAATCCCCATCTGTAGCATAAATTTCACATGTTGCACAGGTCGAGTAGTTGAATAGGAAGTTGGGCTACATATGAGATGAATCTTTGAACCCCTGATAATAGGTTTGTGGCTTTTCACAGGGGTATGACATCTTCCATAAGCACTTGCAATTTTGGCTCACTACCAAACTTGGCTGATCTGATCAGGGTTGGGTGTGGCTAGTACTTGGTGGGAGGAACCACCTGTAAATATCAGGGTTCTTGGCTAGAATTGATTGATTGATTGATTGATTGATTGATTGATTATGTACCATGAAGTCGCTGTCGACTCCCAGCAACCACATAGATAGATTTTCTCCATGACAATCTATTCCTAACCCGGTCCTTCAGGACTTTCAACAGTGTACTCATTGCCACTGTAACTAAGTCGATCCACCTTGCTGCTGGTTGTCCTCTTCTTCTCTTGACTTCCACCTTTCCCAACATTAGAGCCTTCTCCAGAGAGTTAGGTCTTCACACAATGTGTCCAAAGTAGAATAATCTGACTCTGCTTGGCTATAAGAGGAAGAGAAGGGGGTGGGGGGAACAGCCTGAAGGAAGGCAGTGGCAAACCATTAGGATATTGTTGTCAAAAAATGTATATGGATGTGTCCATGAAGACAGCATAGTCAGAATTGACCCAAAGGAGGCTTTTCCTTTACTAAGCTTACAAAAATAGGACAAGGAATACTGAAAACAAATATTTGATGCATCTCTGAGTCTAAGCAAGGATTGAAACAAATAAGAACTCATTCTTTTCTGTTGTCTGGTAACTTTGGATTGACCTGATAGTAGCATGCTTCATATTATTTTACACCATTGTATGTTGTGACATTATTTATAAACATAATGCATCTTTCAGATTAGCTTTCTTTTGGGTCACTATCTGTATCACTGAATAGATAAACCTGACCAGTTGCTTAGATCAGCTTTAATCAAACTTTTAATTGTTAGTCATTTTAAGGACTGATTTTGATTTTGATTTTATATGTGATCATATTATTGTTGTTGGGGGAGTTATTGTGGTATGGTGCCTTCAGTGTTGGCATAAACAGGAAGGAAGGACGGAAGGAAGGAAGGAAGGAAGGAAGGAAGGAAGGAAGGAAGGAAGGAAGGAAGGAAGGATAGTTTCTATGCATTCACTGTGCTTCCTGCTATCGTTTGCAAAGGGAATGTGTTCTCCCTTTGAAGGCGTATCCTGTAGATTAATTTTCAATTTCAGTGTATGTATATCATAAATTCATCATATAGATAAATTTCAGTGTACATAAATCTCTTTAAAATACCCACCAGCTTCAGCCTCAGTTGGCTACTCATGAAACTTTCTATGAATCTTTAGTGCTAAAAGAGAGAGAGAGAGAAAGGAAGAGACTGTTACTTTGTAAGAGAGGAAATCCTGTTTGTAGATATACATCTGCGGTGAGACCTCCAGTCCCTAATACCTCTTGGCAGAGGGGGGAAGGAAGGATTAATTTCCTCATGTATTTGGGGAGCCATGCCTTCTCAGTGGTGGACCCTGTTTTTTGGAACAAACTGCCCCCAAATCTATGGTTGACCCCAGGCCTGTGGACCTTTAGAAAGGCAGTCAAGACCTAGGTTTTCTCCCAGGCTTTTGGTTAGGTTGACTGGAGGCCCAGTTGGATGAGTTGCAGTATATTTTAGTCCAGTTGCCATTTACTGTTTTAGTTGGTTTTAATGCATTGTGGGGTTTTTTCCTTATGTTGCATTCATTGTGGGGTTCTTTTTTTTTCCTTGTACACTGCCCAGAGTCATGCTATTGAGTTGGGCAGCTGTATAAATGATATGAATGAATGAATGAATGAATGAATGAATGAATGAATGAATGAATGAATGAATGAATGAATGAATGAATGAATGAATGAATGAATGAATGAATGAATGAATGAATGAATGAATGAATGAATGAATGAATGAATGAATGAATGAATGAATGAATTTGCAACCCACCAGGGAATTATCCTGATAGCAATGATATTTGGAAACAGCCTCTCACTCACTCCCATACAGGGAATCTTTTTTCAAACCTCCTTGCTGCCAAACATGGCGGATGGCATCTTCATGTATGTGGGTCTACACCAATGTTGATGTGTGTGAATCAATGCTTAAGAAGATGTCTAGCTTTTCTGATGTAACTGCATCAGAAGAAGTTACCTCTGCAAAGAAATCAGAAGTTACACGGGCAGTGGGCATTGCCCATCCATACGGGCCATTTGTAGCACACACTAAAGACTATAATAGAGCTACTTTTTATGTAATTTCCTTGCACAATGCTGATGTTAGTTGGATTTGGGCAACACTGCTGGTAATCAAACAGTTTATCATACCTTCACTAACAGCATCACTTTACTGGTGCACCTGTGTCAACACTGCTCAGAATGAGTCAGTCACCCTTGATACAAGTACGAATTACCTTTCACATCTAGTTTGTCAAGAAGGCATAGGTCACATCTGGCAGACTTACTGAATCACTGCTCTAGGAATATGAAACCACTGTTCCATCAACCAAATACCACACTCCCCTCTTCTTGCAAAACATTCTGTTTTACCAATAAAAGGCTGTCAGCCTGAAGATTTAAAGATTTAAGCTTAAAGGGACTATAATTATTTCCCTAGGGCTGTCAAGATTTTTGCAGCTTACACTTTCATTGTTCCC